CTGGGTTCTTCCTCACAAATCCTTAAAGGTTTTATACCCTTACCTTGACTAGTAATACCTTGAAAACTTGTGGGGTCAGAACTAGACTCTGAAACTGTAACTCTCTTCTCCTGCGCAAAGTGCGAAGTCGTCTGTGATACTCTATTCAACAATGACTTACTGGTTGCAACTACAGGCTTCTTCACCGCACCATTATTGTCATACAATTCGTAGTCAGACCTTGATGACGCTGGTTTCATACTTAGCTCACCACTAAACTTGCTCACTGCTTCACAGTTTACCTTTGTGTGCACTCCTCGCAAACGGACGAAACACGACCGTGTGTGTCCTGCAGCTGGTAACCTATCTGTTAGGGACGTCCCACGAAAGTTGTCACACACATTAGGTTTGTATGGATTACTAGACACAATAAATCTTTCTCGATTTCCACTTCTCTGAGACCCTTTCGTCATAAATAATTGTATTTTGCTCGCTGACCTCTCATTTTTAGAAGCCGGATGCAATATACTGGCGAATTTAATTATAGACTGATTAACATTATCTGTCACTAATCTCAGCATATCATCGAACCCTGCCTCTAAACCTTCGTCCTGTATACGAGAGCATACCTTCATTCACTTCCTTTGTAGTCGAGTAGGCAGGCGCCTTGCTATTACCTGTAGGACGGAACTTGAGTTCAGATCGTCCATGCAACTCATCGAAATCAACGTATTCTTGTAGGCCATCAGATTATCCAGAAACTCAGTGAGTGCCATGAAGTCATCTCCTAATTGGCTACCATTGCCTTTAACAGCCTCGAATACGTTCCTTACAATCATCGAGAGTCTTCAAAACCTTTAACGCAGTATACTCATAGCCTCAGAGTATACTTCGTTAGGGGCATGAACTTACAGCACTGCATAACTGTTGCAGCAACACCAGTGAATAACCTCAAGAAATACATTAACTTCATTTCGTCATTTAATACAAAACCACTTAACATGATTGTAAACTCCTTTACAAACTGTGGATAGTCAGCTAGGTTTCCGACGAAACACCGAGGCTCAAATTTAGGAATTTTAAAATTTCTGTTAACCCTAGACGGCGAAACATTGACATCAGTCTTATCATGCTTAGCATCACACACATCATTAAATATAACAGGCAACTCAGCATTACTTACTTTCCTGTCTGCCTCCAAAACGCTGTTTTTTCTTAGACCCAGGCATTATTGAACTTGACCAAAAGATCCAGAAAATTTCCAAATAACACTCGTCGAAAGTAGACTTGCAGACGCGAGGAAAGTCGAAGTGACAACAAATAAGAAGAACAGTTCCAGGAGAATTATCAGAAACTGTCAATGTTCAGGTCTAACTACATTGGACTTCAAACTGTCCTTAAAAGAATCTCAGGAAGTATGCTCAATAACCAACGCAAAACAACCAGAACACAGATTGGTCACTCAAGAACCCTTTATTCTTGCACCAATACAGAGCTAACCATTAGGTTGTTGTACACAAAGTCTAAGGATAAATGTCGTAACAATAAATCACAATAATACTTCTGATAGTTTTTCTCTGTCTTCCAACGAACAGCGAACGATGGAACGATGACTACAGTATCGATGTTTCCCGCAAAAATATAGAGCTGGGTTTGAGCCAACAACTATGAATTGGTCGTTCAATCTTCAACTACATTGACACGAACAGATGAATAAAAATGCCTCAGAAGGCGCTCCGAAAAAGGAATAAAAACTGTCAAGGAACTTATCCCTAAGCTCTTATTGTTACGAGGACTCTCCACACCGATAAATGCCATGTACCTTCTTCGACTTCAACTCGAAAACACAGTACCGTAGGAAGGAAGTTATATTGTTTGGCAATTAAAGTGGAGAACAGTGCAAGTCTATAAACAAATGTTTTATGCAAATTTATTTTGTACTTTTATTTGCTTTTGATCGTCTTCGTCGAACTTGTACACGATCGAACCGTTCGCGCCTTCGAGTTTCCCACCAATAGCTATCAGTGCGTCGGTGGCACAGTGGTTAGGACTCTCGCCGACCATGCAAATGGTCTGAGGTTCGATCTTCGGCCGACGCCCACCTGATATCTATGGTTGGCCTGCAAAATTTGGGCTACGGATATCCATATTATATTTCATTATCAGTGACTTAGGTCAGTAACAAGTGCTTATCTAATAAGAGACAATAGAAAAGAGACCGAGTGTTACACTCCAGCTTTCTAAATAGCACAGACACTTGACTGCTTATATATGACTTAAACAGTCAGTTAAAACAATAAAGATGTGTTCTTGGTGCACAGTGATGAAAGTTGTAAACTAGTATTATAGGAGAGTTACATACGACTGTAGCCTAATTACTGTTATTGAAATTACAGGTGAAGAGGGTCATGTAGGCAGGGAAACCCCTAACGAAGGATTTGTTAGAAGGTACAGAAAACTGGAGTCCACCCCAATATCTATTCGCTTCAATTTTTCTACCCATGGGATGGTTCTTCAGCAAATTGAAGCACTCTTGGAAAGCTGTAGTCATATTATGTCACTGCTAATGAAGCAAGTCTGATGAAATCAATTTTGCGGAAGTGTCCTGCAAGTGTCCTGCCTAAATCCACGCAAGAAACTACAACGGGCCGGTTCTTTCGGAATCGGCCAATTAGTCCCAACATTAAGTCCCCCACAAGCAGACAGTTTCACGTAAACTACCCTACAACACGCTGAGGTTGTTAGATTCACTGTCAGCTGCCTATATAGCAGTGTGAGGGGGTAGAGAGGAAAAGTAGGTGAACTCCGAAATCTCCAAGCACACCTACAACTGAAAATGATCATTCTCACTGGAACGTGGCTAAACCCCACTATCGCCGACAATGAAATCAGTATAGGTGATATGGTGCTGGTCAGGAGAGACAGGGATAATAAGGAAGGAGGGGGAGTCGCTATATACTTTGATAGGCAACTTACATGTGTGCGCGCAACGGACCCACCACTTATTGAACTCCCGGACTCCATATGGTGTCATTTCACAGTAGGCCACACCAAGCACTTACTGGGTGGCATCTACCGATCTCCCACCTGTGGGGCAGAGCACAATCAGCTACTGCTCAGCACTATTACAGGGATACGAGATTTCGGCTGCGACCAAACCACCATAGCTGGAGATTTCAATGCCTCATCACTAAACCTTGGCTTGGGATATGCTAAGGGAAAATTTGGCCGAAACCTACTGCAAACTATTCGAAACACGGGACTGACTGAGAATGCTGGAGACGACACTAGGTAGGGCCCTAGTGGAAAGTTATCAAAACTAAACTATATTCTAACTAGTGACCAACTACTCGTCGAAAAGTACCAGTTCATGACTCCTCTAGGAAGCAGTGACCATGCAGTCATAAGTTTCGATCTTGTTCTCCGTCAGCGTTTGCAGTGGGATGTTACGCGACCATGTCTGCGTTACAGCAAGGCTGACTATGCTGAAATGCGGAGGCTGCTGTCCGATGCAGGCTGGTCCTTAGCATGGGATGACCTATCTGTGGATGAACACTGGGAAGTGGTAAAAAACATTATTCATATAGCAATCTCGGATATCGTCACTTTAATCACAACACAGACTAAAAGAAAGACGTCATGGTTGAAGAGAGGCACGCAACGTATTATGCAAGCAAAGCGGAAAGCTTGGTTTACGTGGCGCTTGTCTAAGAGTCAGACCGACCACGATGCATACCTCGAACTCAGGAACCGGTGCGATGTAAGAGTCGGGAGGGACAGGAGGTCACTCCAGGCTAACCTTGCCCAAAAACTCCTAGCAAACCCCAAAAGCTTGTACCGATTCATGTCAAAAAGAAAGTCGACAAACCAGGGGCATGCGCATTAGTAGGCCCAAAGGTCAATATCTCACTGGTCTGGAGATGGCTGAAACATTCAGTTCAGCCTTCGTCAAACAGCTAAAAAGCAATGTGGGTATTACAGTTACGGACCAAAATGGTGGCACCACTATTTCACAGGAGGGAGACCTAGTGGATACTCCCCAAATGAACCCCGCAATAGTACTAAGGAAGCTACAGCGACTCACACCTGGAAAGTCCCCAGGTTGTGACGACATCAGGCCATCTGTTCTGAAACAGTGCGCCAAAGCTCTCTGTAGGCCCCTGTGCGACTTGTCCCAACACTCAATTGATTCGGGGACACTGCCAAGGGAGTGGAAAAGAGCCATCCTTTCTCCAATCTTCAATGGTGGGGATAGGCAAAATGCCACTAGTTATAGACCAGTAGCTCTACTTCCAGTGGTGCCAATAGTACTGGAAAGTATTATTGACGACCACTCCAAGGAATATTTTGATAGGTCTAATATACTCCATGAAGTCCAACATGGTTTCAGAAAAGGCAGATCCTGCGTTACTAACCTACTATCAGCTTGGGACGACTGGACATCATGCTGGGATATGAGTGTTCCAGTCCATGTCATCTTCCTAGACTTTGGGAAGGCATTAGACACTGTTCACCATGACCTTCTCCTACATAAAATAAGCCAGACAGGTATAGGTGAGCCACTTCTGTCATGGTTAAAGGACTATCTAGCTGATAGGGAATTTTGCACTAAGGTTAACCGAGTCCGATCATCTTGGCACAGATCGTCATCAGGAGTGTGCACCGAAGATCAGGAACCTATACCTTACAATCAAGAAGCGAGCACAAAGAAATCAAATTGGTTTATACTAGCTCATAAAACGATATTGGATATTTTGGTAACATATATATTGCTCATTGAAGGATGTTGATTTGAATGGATGCGGTACGTCACATTAATTGCAATTTTTTTTGGTGTTCATGAATAATATTGTGTTGGGCAGTGTACAGTTAACACTTACTAAAAGATTAACGTACTCACAGGTAATATGATAAGCTGATAAAATTGGCCGAAACGTTGCAGAATTTCCTTACATGTCAATCATACTGCTGATACTTCTGGCATAAAATCCAGTCTTAGAAGGTACCACTGTATGTAATAAATGTTTGTTGTAAGTTGTTGAAATGTTAACGGTGTGATTGAAGTTCTCGAAATAAACTCGATTTAGTGTGATTTATTGTTCATGTGTGCTCACGTGTGTATATTTTCCCCCTTACTTATCAAAGGAAAATAAGCCACAAATATTAAACTACCGAAAGAAACTCAGGAATTTAATTGTCTGTATTTTCTGTGTTGTTCTCTGTGTTGTTTCCACATGGGAATTTAGATGGCCTCACTGGTACTGGACGTTTCGTTGCATCCGTTTACTCAGGTTTTCCTACAATCTAGTGCATTGCTGAAGGTTGTTTTGTCTTGCAAATACAGTCTTTGCGTTATTTTTACTTTCCTTTTTCCATGTCTTTCTTTCTTATTGCATACTGGATTATTTAAGATGTTTGATACTACCTTGTATCCATCAAATCTGAGTTGTTTTCTTAAATAATAAAGGTGGACAAATAGTCTACAAAAATCTCACTCACCTACATGACTAATAAGTCCTGTAAGAATGGTCCTTGAACATAAGGAGTACCGCCTATATTGCCTCCCTTTTTAAATATTAAAAGGGATGACATAATAAACAGTGGTCATATAGTGAACTGTAATCATTACTATAAGCATTTTCCTTATTGCAAGCATATGTTTTCATCTGTGAACCAACATCATCCCGCCCCTATCCATTTGTTTTGTTTATATTCCTAAGGTTTCCATATACAACCTCGTGAACACTGCTGTGTAATCAAACAGGTTACATTTCACTTATGATAAGTATCCTTTTTAATCTGTAGGATTTCAGTTTTCACCATCCCTTTTGAAAGTGCATTAAACATACCCTATGTGTTCTCTCAAAGTTGTTTTGGTTTTTCATTTTCGAACTCATCTTAACTGAGCTGTTGTCAAATGTCGTTATGCTTCACTAACGTCACATATTTTTCATTACAATTTGAATAGACAATAAACATAACCTATCTGGTTCATAACATTTTTCCGGTCTTCATATATGACCTCGTCTCAACTGAACTGTAATAAAATTCAGTGCTCTTTTTCAGTACCAACCACACTAGTTAGGCATGCAGTGCTTTTTCAGCGCTAAGGGCATTATTTCAGATGCAAATCCTATTTTTACCATTTTGTCGCATTAATTAAGCATCCATTACCTTTTTTAGGAACGACTAGCCTTATTTCAGCACATAGTTCACTTCAGGTAGATAAAATATTCATTTGCCATAAAAAGGCACTGTCGATGCATATGTTAGAATTAGTTTAGAATTACTGTAAGCTTGGACCCACAGACCTTGATTATAAAATGTCTTAACCTTTGTGCTGTTGTAGCCCATCATGGTCAAGGCAATTCTATTAAATAGTTACAAATCCACATAAATTCTAGTTCCTTTTCCGTGGAAATCAAAACCGTGTTTTTATATCGTTGAGTGTGATAGGAATGTGGTTCACAACTTCCAAATGTGAGGATGCTGCGGGACAGCTGGTCTCAACCAATTCCTATTTTGAAGATAAGCAATAAAATGATTGTGTGTTGACCGCCTTACTTCTTTTGATAGATGGAAGAGCCCTAAAAAATGTATTTGTAGACGGAATGTAGGCATGAATACAAACGGCTGGTTTGGCATTAGCCAACTTACATCATCTTTGGGGTAGGTGTAAAATCTGATTCTCTGTCAACCGTGTGTGTATTATGTTACACTTCTGTGTTCTTTGCGGCTTTGAATTAGACACCTGGGATTATACTCAGGGTCTTCAACGCTGAATGGTCCTCAGAATTCTTATTGATTGTTAGGATTAGCGTGTTTTGTCCACAGGTGTCTTATTTTAGGTTACTGGCTCTTGATAGAGAAGACAATGAGCAGTTCTTAGGTTTAGTGTTATAAAAGGAGGGTTTTTTAATTGGTGACTGTTAAGTTCCGTTAACTGAGGTGGTGGGGATGAACAGTGTTTTTGAATTTAGGACTAAGTTTATAAATCGATAGAAGTGGTCAAATGAAAATATGGGACCAATCTATAAAATATTCCACTGTTAGTTTGAACGTTATAGGGAGATAGAAACTTTCTTTTATGTACTCGTCGCCAAATTATTGTTATTTACTGGTCGAGAATTTAATAGTCCTGACGCAAGAAAGACGGAAATCAGAAGACCACTAGGTTTGCGATGATACTTCTATATTCCAAACACAAGGAGAATCAATATGTATCACACAATAGTGTGAGAGCAAAATATATATGAATGTCCAAACAAGTGTGTGAACAATCAATAGACAGTCTTAACATGATTGGCTAATTATAATGGAGTATCGATCCAAATATACATAGCAAAATGTAGCAGACATGTCAACAAACACACATATTATATGGATATATATCACCAAGGACAGACTGTCAACAAACACACATATTATATATAATATAAGGGGAATATACACTGTTAAAGGAGACAGGTTCATCAAAGTGAAATGGTCACAGACTAAGAGAGCAACACAAAGAGAGACCACCATATATATATATATATATATATATATATATATATATATGGATACATATCACTTTCTATTGAGGAGTAATGGTTGAAGAGTCTTCTTGACATTGGTAATAATAATTTTTGTAGTAAAACTGGTGTGTTCAGTCTTTGCTACTATCCTTCTTATGAAATTTCTGTCTGATTGTTTGATCTTCTGCATATCTTTGTCTATTGTAGCGTTATTATATTCCGTTTCTCAACTATCATGTGTGCTTCTCCGCATTGTGGCAAGTTGTTCTGGTGAACTTTTGTGCAGTTTTACGTTTTTAACTGGTGGATCACTAGTTGGAGTTAAATTTTTGGAGCCGTTCAGATCATATGCCGATTTCCGCATCTTTTCATGTATCTCAACTATTTCAAATAATTAGTGGTTGACAACACTTTTAAACACAATCATATACTTCTGAAATATTTTTCCTTGATGCCTAAAATAAATCCACTTATTGTTATAGTGATAAACATCCTCACCAACCCTCATTTAGTTGTTTTTTCTCTCATACTTGCCCATTGTAGCTTCACTCCTTATGCTATTTTCTTTTTTCATGTACTCTTCGATGTGCAATAACTTGAATTGATACATTTTTATGCGAAGTAGTCTGTCAGTTTGTCCATAGGAGTTAATCCAGATGTGAAACCAAGCGAGGAATTGTAATATTTACTGCCTAAATCTCGATTTGGTTCACACTTCTGGCTTCTTGTAAAAGGTGAAAAAGGCAGGGAGAATGTCTATCATAGTTGTGTCCATTCATTTAAATTTCATTTTTAGGTGTATGTCATAAGGCGTGTGACAACTTGCGGGAACATTGTGTGTTTTGATATTATTTTAATTTTTGAGGGTGATTTTCGCTCAGCTTCATCTCTGTTTACATTTGAAGTCGTATATAATCATGTAAGTATCGGTTCAATTCCGTTTAAATGTTGACTGGTTAGTAGTATCAAGGCAACCTATTCATGACATATTTCTTTCATTTGTTCATTATGTTTTCATTATCGGCTTCACCTTTGTTTATATCAGATGTTATGCGTTAGGGAATACAAAATTATTCAGTATCTCTCCATGTTCTTCTTTTGCGTTGTGTTCATTATTTATCACAATTGTCTTGGATACATGAGGACATAAATGGCAAAATAGGATCCACTAAAAGTTACAACAAGTTCAGTTTAAGCAGTGGTGGTACTTTGGAAGAAGCATTGTGGTATCATTTGTGACTGAACCTACCAGCTTCGATGCTGTACTAGTCTATGTACTTTTCAGACATTTCTGTAACCAGATGTTTCTTGTGGAATAATTCAAGTATTGTTGTTGCATTTGCTTTTAATAACTTTGAGTAATTTTTCACACATTTCGGTTTTAGATACTCTTTGCCAACGTTACAATGAGGATTCCTTGCAAAATGCCAAAGCTTTATACTGTTACTAGATACATTTCTTCATCTCCCGTTCTCTTAAAGCAACCGCCTTATGACAGACTCCGATCAAAAAGACGCAACCCTCCTCCATTCCACACTCTTCCTTTTTATGATGAAGCACCAGCGAAGAGTTTGCCGAAGAAACCACTGAAAGTCAGTGGTCAGTGGGGTCAACAGACAAAAAAGTCAAAGAATCAAGGTAGTTTTCTGTTTGTTATTTATTTAAACAGAAAAAAACTGATAATAGAGATATAAGTGTTTGTTCATTAAATTTTGCTTTGTTAACTTGGACACTAAAATATGCCCTATTGACAGCATCAAAAGTGACACAGATTAACGTATGTTGATTTGGATTTCATCTTACCGTGAAAAATCTCACTCATCACCTCCACCAGTATTCATAAAACTGCTTGGAAATCAGTGAACTGGGGGAAGCACAGTCTTCTGACAGAGTTATTATTTGTTACTGGTAACTAGTCCGAAAGTTCATCTATCACATCAACCATATTAGTAATGGTTGGTGATTAAACCGACATGTGACTAGTCCCGTCACCCTGGTACAGGTGCTTAGAGTCACGACTAGACTCGTGTATTTGTTATTTCATTCTCTTCAAATTGATTTCAAGACTCGAATTAAGCATTTTATTTCACAAGTCAATGCATTTTGCACTTTTTTGATACCAAGTACGCACCATGCTTGTGGATAGTTACTGTGATATCTATGGCTTTTATGTTACTGTGATGTCATCCGCTCAGTGGGAATTAAATAGTCTTCTAGAAAGCGGATCAGTATCGTCACGTACCTTTCTTAGCTATTGCTATCGCCTTTTCTATTACATGTGATTTCAGTTCTTATCAATTTTCAAGGTCATTGTTTATGATGACTACACTAAATAGTCGTACGTAACGGTTTAACCATCTAGTTCTATCAGGTAAGTAGCGAAACACGTTATTTCCTCACTCTCTTGTTACTTGGAATTTGGTGTAATATAATGAAGTAAATAAGAGAAATGTAAATGTGTTAGAAATACAGGTTTTTAGAGTGATTTTGTTCAGCTTCAGTCGTCCTTCTTTCCCGGCTTGATTACGTGGAGGCTAAGTCGAATAAACTGTCACTTATGATGCAATTTAATAATGTGTTAAATCTTAAAAATTTATATTAATCACCTTTCGTAAAATACGTGAAACATTTCGCCTGTGTCTAAGGACAAAAATATCTTTAACATATTAAGAGTAACAGTTATCCCTAATAATTGAGAGGAAGTGGTTATCGATTTCAAATTTGACTATATGATTTATTTTCTAAGATCGATAAGGAGGTATTTCGAACTCTTTGCAGGTTCCGCCATGGTGAACTCTTAAAGGCAACACCTACGTTATTTGAAAAGCTTGATGAACTCACCCATATTGAGGAGAATATGTGGTTTCATTCTATTGACATCCCTTTAAAACATCCTGAAATGCTTGGTTTTTCTCAATTTGTCACACGAACAAGACTTATACCATGGATACCAGAGCCATATATTGGCAGCAGTTCATACTTATCGAATTATTTAAATTATTTATTTATGGAGGAATTACAGTCCATGAACAGAAAACTTGTTAACATGCATGATCAAAGTGACAATGGAGTTAATTCACGTGCAGACTATCGACGTAAGAAGATATCTGTGATTATGGAAACAGTGTGCCGATCATTTTTATCAAGTGGGACAGAATCACTGGTCACTGAATTGTCTACACAAATTGATGAACACGCAACAATTGAAATGTTTTTAAAGCGATTAGTTGATCGTGAAGTATTCGAAAACACTGAAAAAGTGGATGAAGACATTTATGAGGCAGTAAATGAAACTATTATTGACCGTGAAGATTGTGTACATTATCGTATACGTTCTCAGTTAGCCTGGCAATTGAGAGGACCGTTTCCTTTGAAAGCTGTAAGTATTTCCAGGGTAATTCAAGTGTTGTGTATATTTATGCTAGAGTTATATGGAGAACATGAAAAGGGTAGTATACAAAAAGTAGATAATTAGTGAGGTATCATTTGTTTTGCATTACATTCTCTGCGGTGTTTTGTCGATAATTTCAGATGCGTATTTGTTTTACGAGTTAGACATGTTGGTTCTGAAAGACTTTGACATCGAGTCGTAAACGAAAACAATTATCCTTTTAGATAGTCTGTATATGCTCATACTTAGTTATAAGGTTAACAACAAAATGGTAGTCCGTTAGTTTCAGCCAATAACTTAAAGTTTTTGGAAATTTTCCTTCAATGTAGTAAGACTGCAAGAAATTCGTTAAACTTCGAGGCCATATTAAAACGAATATTTTAATCATTTGATGGACAGTAGAACAAACCAACGTAGAACTGTCAGTCGATTTTCGTAAGTTCGGAATAGTCCATTTTCCACAAAATCTCGAAAAAAAGCCAGGAAGTACTATTCGCCTAACTATGATATATTATGGCATCTTGGTAAAAAAATCACTCAGTGTAATTCTACTCATTCTTTAAGATGACGAAACTGAAACACAACGCCTTACTGTAAGAGGGAAATTAGGACACTGTGATGGACCTGTAATCCCATGTCTGATAAATAAGTCAGTAATACTGTATTGATTACTGAGTCACGTAATGAGCACAATTTATTTCCACTAGTCATATCAAAATAGCTAAACAATTTCAAACAAGCTGGCCTTCGTAGTTCGTCAGCTGTCTACTGTTCGCCTTCATTGATGATAAAATTTTACGTACCTTCGTAATTTTTGTTTGGCATTGTCTGTACTAGGTATTGAGTCTATTTCTCTCTCCTTTCACTTAGCTTCGTTAGTCTTAAGTAGTAAATATATTGTTTTATCGTGTTGTAGTTTCCTTACTGCATCATTTCAGTAGGGTCTGTCAATAGAGGTACTCTGGCGGTGCTTGACTGTAAAGGGGATGCCGAGAAAATACATTGCACTAATCAAGGAATTCTACTCTACTGGAACAGATGCAGTCAACCAGGTGAGAGCTTACAGCGAGTTGTCATCTGAAGCGGTGACAACTAGTGGTGTCCATCAGGGATGCCCACTATCCCCATTTCTATTCAATTTATTCGTTGATACACTAGTAGACTTCACAATAACTGACTTCAGAGACTCAGGGATTGACTTGTTACCATCAGGGAATAATCTGGTTGACTTACAATATGCAGATCATATAGTCCTGCTTCTAAGTGAAGACGCTGGCAAAATGCAGAGTCTTCTGAACGCCTGGAGCTGCAATCTACGACTGTTTGGCATGCGATTCGCTCCTGCTGTCAAATGTAAGATGATGTTACAGGACTGGACTACACTTACTCCTAGTTTTGAAATAAGGAGTGAAGTGGTAGAGCACGTTGAACACTTCACTTATTTGGGAAGTTGCACCAACTAACGCTAACGGGTTAATCACTGACGAAATCTCAGCTGAGTACGGATACAGAGGGCTAGTTTCGCATATGCCAGTTTACGCCGTCTCTGGCTTAGTAGACGTGACATCCGGCTGGCTGTCGACCAGAGGGCGTGTGTACTGCTCATCAGTCCGCTCCATTCTCCTTCATGCCAGTGAGACACGGCCATTGAAAGTGGAAGACGTGAAAAGATTAGCTGTCTTTGATCATAAGTGTCTTCGTTCTATCTCCCGTGTTAGGTGGTATAATAGAGTGAGCAATATTGAGGTTAGGCATCGGTCGAGTGCTAGGTGAGGAGGGAAAATCAGTCGAAGCGGCTGTGAAGCTACATCGACTGAGATGGTTAGGACATGTGTTACGTATGCTTAGTCATCGCTTTCCTTGACCGACGGGGAATGTTAGCTGGCATAGGGTCAGGTTGGAAAAGAGCTAGCGGCGGTCAAACCGAAACATGGCACCAGTCAATGAAATCCACACCAGTTACCTTAAACCATGTTGGGAGGTGTAGACTTCCTGACTGGTTGGGGTCCTCGGGACGGTAAAAACCAATGGCTGGAGACCATCGGTGATATGGCTCAAAATCGTTCTCAATGGCTGGCGGAGATGCATCCACTCCTTGTGACTTATGATCTCCAATGAAACTATATTGTTCTTCGTTATTACTATTCCTTTGTCTCACACCTCTGTTTACTGTCTCTATTATGCATTTCTTCTACTTTCTTCTCTTGGTCTTGTGTGTTACATGGAGTGTGGCGACTTGAACTGCCGCACATATGTGCAAGGTCCTATGTCGACAACAGACAGGCAAGTTAAGTTGCATTTATCACTTGGTTTGGGGATATGCACACGGTGAATATATTTTGATTTAAAGACTGTAGATCTCTCATGAATATTTTTACTCTATACCTTAGCCAGTAAGATTAAATGTACATAAATTGCGCTTTTCATCTAATAACTCATACACTGATGCTATAATAGGACTTGTTTATCGTGATGCCCTAATAAGCTATGCTGACTGGTCTGTTGAATTTGAGTAAAGTTAAAAGCACTTGTTGTCATAATGTAAATTGTGATTACATCACGGTGTGTCTGAGAGCGAAGCCGTTCTACTGAAAAAAAGATGCGGTAATGAGATGTTCCCTTTGTCCAATCAGTGAGCCAGGTGTGCTGCCTTCTTGCTCTGGGGAGGTGCTAGAAAATACCAGCCCTATCCCTAGGATTGTACATCCTCATTTATGCTATGGAAGTCCAGGTCGTGTGTGATGTGCCTAAAGTAGTTGTATACTGGGCTGACTGGTCATGCAAAAGTTATGCATTTTTTTGTCAGTTATTGAAAAAGAAGCCAACTTCCACGTGATGGGCTTATAAGAAATACCAACGCTCCGCCTACATTCATTGCCTTATCTTTTTATCTAACTCAAACTCCACCTGTGCTTCCTTTATACTTGTTTCGTGTCTTAACTCTACCAATATTGCTGACAACTGGAGCTATCAAAAATTTAGGATATGAAGAAAGCTGTTGTTTAAAGTGATAATTTTCACGTTCAACATCATACCATCTCTATCAGCGACTATGTAGTGTTTTAGTTTTGTGTACACAAATCGGTCTATACACTCATGCGCTTGTGACTCGGTGATGGATTGCAGAGAATTAGAAGTGGATAACCTTTCCAACCTTAGCTGGATAATGTTCACTTCGGTGTAAACTTTACTGTAGTTTCCTTGTTTAATGAGTTCAATAATTCTTCTACATTGTCTGATTTCACTCCAATTACTGCTACACTTGTTATATTCGTCACGTGTATTTATTTCGATAGGGATTCAATTTACATGGTTTGTATTTGGCTGTTTGATTGTCATTTATTTTTATGGAGTTGTGCTTCACTAGCTTCAAGTGTTCATAGCTAGCTGCTAATTGAATTTTTATTTTGAACCTTCTCCATCTGATTTATTTAAACAATAATTTATTTTCTCAAGTCTCAAATATTTAGTTTGATTGAATGTGGATAAGTGTAAAACATGTTTTTCAGTTTCATTCTGTTAGTATTATAACTTGACATTTTTTAAAATAAAACATTGAGTGGAACCAGTTTAAAAATGTTTGTTATAGGACTTTATTTTTTCTTTTATCACTTTTCATCCTTTTGAAAATAGCACTTCAGTTTGGATGATCCTATATGCTTTCCTGATGAACCTATCCTCTGCAGTTATCGTCCTGAAGCGTTCGATTTAAGCCTTGTTGAGTGTTACAATTTCAATTGTTTGCCTTTTTCTCGAACAATCGATTTTTCCGAATTTGCTCGGTCTATCGCAGGTGATTAAATCTCAGTTATTGTTTTTTTGTCCTTTGCAGTTTACTGTGTAAATTTGTGAAATGATCTTTAAAAATTTTATTATAAAACTGAAATACCACCTTGTTAATATTTGTTGTCTAACAAGACCACTTACCATAAAAATTTCCAAATGTATAAGTTACTTAGGTTACTTAGAATGACTTTTTCCTGGAAGTTGATCGAAAGTTGATTATAGAACCGAAGTATTTGACCTGGTTGGCCGTTGTTCACCTGAAGACAGTGGTTAAAATCCCCTGAGTAAACACATCGTGCTTGTAGGGAATGATGTACAAAATTATGAAAATACATGTACCACATACTAGTATTAGAATCCTCATCTTGAATAATCTTGATTTGTTCAAGAAGAAAGTAGCTGCTCCTAAGGATAAGTTAAGTTTATTTACCGGCCGTCTAATATATAGCATAGTATTGGGCTCTAAGGTTTGTGGAACTCCAGTTGCTTTACTTTGTGTTCATTTACCTGGGTTACTGATTGTGTGTAGGGATTTACAAGCATATATGAATTAACTCAAGGGAGGTTTTCTCTACTTTGAATGATGTGTGAATCAGATGTTCAGTAGGTGTCTACTACCTTTCCTAGACGCTATTTAATATATTATTTGGAATTAAAAGTGCTTCTGATGCATGGTTTTTGTGCTCTTCAATTAGGTGGTTATCTTAGTGCCCTTCTGGTGCTGTTGTTCTCAGGATTTAACCGTTCACATTATAGTATTGAGTGGTAAATTTGATTCTTATCGTATCTAAAACTATCAATCTTAGGAGTATCAGTAGAGTTTACTGTCTAGTATCAGATAACATAGGTTCATTATTAGTGTCTTGTTAACAATGTCTTTTTTGTTTAGTTGTCTGATATGAAATGTAGTTGCATATGTGTCAGAGATTTCATATGCACATAGTCGTCAGTGTTTGGTGATAATGTCTACGAAGGTTTAAACCAAGCATCTATGGTTATATTGAACTGGGTATATGGAAATGGAAGTTTCCTTTGGCAGGTTGGAGATATATTTTTCATTTACTGTGTCACTGAGGAAGTTTACTGCAAATGGTTTTCTGTAGGACAGAGATATGTGCATGAAATGATTAACAGCAAGTGACTTTGTGGTGGTTACTCGTGCAAGGATTTTATATAAATGATTATTATTTATAGTTCTTCGCTACTCTGTATTATTGATAATACGGTTGGTTACTAGTAATTATGTATTGTGTCAAATGTGTAGGCTATTGGTCTCGTACACCATTTTGGGAAGGGGATCCGTGTGAGTTCGGTTTACTTGGAGTGATTGATCTAAACCGTGCAGAAATTGTACGAAATGAAATCAATCGTACCACTCTTCCAGAAGATGTCAAGAAAAATATTTTACAACGTCATGGGGTCGCTGAAGGCATTCTAACAGCATTCGCATGGACTTCAGCACAGGCGTATAATCAAGGTGAGCTTGGAAAGTATATATTTTTTTCAGACATTTTTATTTTGTAGACTAGTAGGAATGCTGATGGTTTTGGTTATTAACGAATTCGGTTAAGACTACTTGTCAAGCTGGGACAGTAGCTTGTATAGTCGTTTCATTCTCTTCTTAAAGACACCACTCACGCTTTTATCTAGCATTGCCATTTTTTGATTTATGGAAACTCATTCTGGCTAGTGGTATTTTCGTTGTGATTTTGAGGTCGTCGTATGTTACTGTCATTGCAGAGCATTTAATTAAGTCCAGCAGTGTCAAGATTTCCCCTGAAACCTTGACGTACTTATTTTTCCTGTAGTTAGTCGTGAATGTTGATGATTTACCGACTTGCATAATTACTCTGTAGTATATTTTAATCCTTTTGTGATTGTATTTTCAAGTTTATTAATTTTCCTAGGTTTCACATTGTACAATGAATTAACTTACCCATTGTGTGCTCAAATAATTCTCATGGATGAAACGCATATTCAGTTGTTGCGCTTTCAGTTGAATTCGATAACATCACTATGGAAAGCAGAAGATTCAGTGTTACCGTATAATTTAGCCTGGTATTCTCCACGTGTAGAGTTGTTCAAAGAACAGTCGGATTCAGGGTAATTTTGAGTATCGTCATTATTTTTGTGTATGAGTCAGCTGGTCGTACGACAACTAACACTTTTTGAAGATTTTTGTACCTCAGGTGGATTTTATATGTTGTTGTTTTCTTTCTACTGGTTGATTCAATCGCAAAGCTTATTATTGTCCTCTCAGATATTATCATCAGCCGTAAAATTTAGCCTAGAGAATGCAACATCAAAAAACAAAACAACAAACAATTGTTGTTACATCTCATCCAGTTTTCATTGTCAACAGGCGACGGGAAACGTTTGTAATCGCTAGAAAAGTGTTTCTTTAATTTTAAAATGATGCTGATCACGAAGACAATCGTCAATTTCACACATAATATAATATATATTATATATATATATATATATATATATATATATATATATATATATATATATATTATATATATATAATATAATATTACAAGCTTTCAAATCATGATGCCAGCATCGATTTTAACCACTGAATTTCATTTTTCATTCAAATTCTGTGTATAATATATGTGTGCAGCCTTGAGGTGTTCATATGTATTATGCGTAGTGTAGTAAAATTCTGAGTCGCATCATCCTGGAGACAATAAAGGACCCACTGGATACAGAATTCCTAACAGAACAAGCTGGATTCAGGAAGAGCAAATCATGTTCTGACCAAATTGCAACTCTACAAATCATCATCACAAAACAAATCATGGAATGGCCATCAATCAAACCTCTACCTCAACTTCATAGACCTTGAGAAGGCCTTCGACAGACAGCGTTGACCGCGAATTAATTTGGAAACTACTCGAGTACTACGGCGTACAGTGCCCAAAATATTCATCAACCTTATTCAACAGCTGTACGACAACGGAACATTTGAAGTCATCCACAACGGAAAACTCAGCGAGGCGTTTGGAGTAAACACAGGAGTCAGACAAGGGTGCTGGCTTATTATCACCCACGATGATATTCCTAATTGTGTTGGACTGACTGGATTATGCGTCAGACAGTGAGTGGGAAACGAGAAGACAGGGATATTCTGGACCGACTGACGTGAAGAACCTAGAAGACCTGGATTTCGCGCGTGGATGATTTATGTTTGATGTCACTGTCACAAAATCGAAGACTTACAAGCGAAAACCGACAAACTGGTCGAAGAAGCAGGCGGCGAATACATGACTCCAAGTGAACATAGACAAGACGGAGGTTATGGAAATAACCAACCAACCAACAACAACAGCAACAAGAGCAGCAACATCCATCGCCAATCACTATCAACGGGAAGGATATGAAAGAGGTTACTGCATTCACTCTTTTATCTAGGGAGCATTGTCTCAACTACAGGCAGTCGGAACGGGCGAGGATGTCAAATCGAGCGAGAATCAGGAAGGCGAGAAACACATTCATCAACCTGAAACCAATCTGGAAATCTTCGTCAGTCAGCCAGCATCAACAACAAAATTCGGTCAAACTTTCAATACAAACAGTGTCAAGTCAGTCAGTTCTTCTATACGGATCAGAAACTTGGCGGGCGGGTCACAAAGAATATTTCCAACAGCCAGCCTGTTGCAGACCAGACCTTTATCAACCAATAACTGTCTTCGCTGGCTCTATACTGAAGATCAGATGGCCGGGCCGGGAAGAATCACCGACAAGAAACTATGGCTGGGAACAAACAAACAAAACAAGAACCAATCGCCAACCAACAAATATGCAGGGGAGAGTGGAGATGGATTGGACACTCGCTGAGGAGGCCGCTGGGTGACATCGCGCGCGCGTCTGGCCATAGCCCGAGTGGAACCAGGCCGAAAGGGAAGCGGTGGCGAGTGGGACTTCAGTGCAAGGGTGACATGGAGGAGATCGTGTGAAGAGGAGCTGAAACAGTATGGACTAACACGGATGCAGGTGAAAAGTGCAGCAGAAGACAGAAGTGGCAAGTGGAGACGTGCAGTTGAAGCCCTATGCTCCACTAGGAACCCAAGAGAACAATAATAATAATAATAATTCATAAATATATACTTTGTTCCACATTCCGACTTTGAAACAGTCTGATAGTGTCGTTAGCTCTCTCTCACAGTGGCTTTAGTCATTCATTGGCAAGATTGTCGTGTTACACTTTGAACACTGGAAGAATGCTCGTGGAAATTATGAGTACACGAGAAGATAGTTTCTGTAAGCTTATGTACATAGATGATTAATAGAGTTTTAAAAGAATGCCAGATATTCATATTGCAATTAAAAAAACGTGCATAGCTGTTCTAGGAAGAAAAAAGAGATAGGAGGAGCAATAATTTTCTATGGAATAGAAAATATTGAAACGAAAGGTGAACTGATGCACAGATAACAGAACGAGAACGTCGTGCTGAATAAAGAAATGAAGAAGATCTCTAGGAAAGATAAAAGACAATTCAACGACACACCAGCTACTGAAGCGGGACAGGCTGCAGGTAAAAAATACCTCAGGACATTATATCAGTTGATCAGGTCTCTATCCGTGAAGGGATCAATACAGATGAAACAAATGCGGAATAGTTAAAAAAACCTAATTACTGAAGAGGAGAAGTAAAGAAAACCCGTGAGCTGATCACTTCAAAGGACTTTTGAATCGACCATCACCCGCGACTCGTTAAAGAACAACACCAACAGCGGACACAACTGCCATTGAACACCACTCCCGGAACAAAAGCTGAAATCTTGAATGCAATCAATCTACTGAAGGCCAGCTGGGGAAGGGAGCAGGACCAGACGGAATTCCCCCGAAGCAATGAAAACGTATCCAGAGACTGCAGCAGATGTGGTCACACCACTACTGCTAAACGTTTAGAAGGAAGGAAAGGTGCTTACTGATTGAAAGAAAGGCTGATTTCCCAAAATATCAAAGAAGGGGGCACTTAGGCTTCTGTAAGAACTGGCGCGGAATAATGCTCTTGTCCACGCCAAGCAATATATTAAGTTTTATGATCTTGAAGAGACTAAAAGATGTACTGGATGCAGAACTCCACCAACCGGAACGACCTGGATTCACGAAAATCAAATCGTGGGCAGATGAGATAGCAGCTGTGCGCATCACCATCGAACAAAGCATAGAATGGTGGTCAGAACTCTTCCTAAACCTCATCGACTTCGAAAAGAGCTTCTACAGCGTTGACCGCGATGTTCAACACTATGGAGTGCAGTGCCCAAATCTATATCAAACTCATTCAACAGCTATATGACAATGCCACATGTCATGTGATCCACAACGGAAAATTCAGTGACACGTTCGAAGTGAATAAAGGAGTAAGACAAGACTGCGTATTATCACTGATGATATTCTTAATTGTGGTGGACGGGATTATACCTCAGACTGTGGGGGAATGAGGAGACACAAATACGTTAGACCTATAAGAAGATCGTAGAACATTTAAACTTAGCGGGCTATTTATGTCTAATGTCACTAATACATGAAGATTTGTCTGTCTGTCTGTTTTCGACATAGGACCTTGCACATATGTGCGGCAGTTCAAGTCGCCACACTCCATGTAACACACAAGACCAAGAGAAGAAAGTAGAAGAAATGCATAATAGAGACAGTAAACAGAGGTGTGAGACAAAGGAATAGTAATAACGAAGAACAATATAGTTTCATTGGAGATCATAAGTCACAAGGAGTGGATGCATCTCCGCCAGCCATTGAGAACGATTTTGAGCCATATCACCGATGGTCTCCAGCCATTGGTTTTTACCGTCCCGAGGACCCCAACCAGTCAGGAAGTCTACACCTCCCAACATGGTTTAAGGTAACTGGTGTGGATTTCATTGACTGGTGCCATGTTTCGGTTTGACCGCCGCTAGCTCTTTTCCAACCTGACCCTATGCCAGCTAACATTCCCCGTCGGTCAAGGAAAGCGATGACTAAGCATACGTAACACATGTCCTAACCATCTCAGTCGATGTAGCTTCACAGCCGCTTCGACTGATTTTCCCTCCTCACCTAGCACTCGACCGATGCCTAACCTCAATATTGCTCACTCTATTATACCACCTAACACGGGAGATAGAACGAAGACACTTATGATCAAAGACAGCTAATCTTTTCACGTCTTCCACTTTCAATGGCCGTGTCTCACTGGCATGAAGGAGAATGGAGCGGACTGATGAGCAGTACACACGCCCTCTGGTCGACAGCCAGCCGGATGTCACGTCTACTAAGCCAGAGACGGCGTAAACTGGCATATGCGAAACTAGCCCTCTGTATCCGTACTCAGCTGAGATTTCGTCAGTGATTAACCCGTTAGCGTTAGTTGGTGCAACTTCCCAAATAAGTGAAGTGTTCAACGTGCTCTACCACTTCACTCCTTATTTCAAAACTAGGAGTAAGTGTAGTCCAGTCCTGTAACATCATCTTACATTTGACAGCAGGAGCGAATCGCATGCCAAACAGTCGTAGATTGCAGCTCCAGGCGTTCAGAAGACTCTGCATTTTGCCAGCGTCTTCACTTAGAAGCAGGACTATATGATCTGCATATTGTAAGTCAACCAGATTATTCCCTGACGGTAACAAGTCAATCCCTGAGTCTCTGAAGTCAGTTATTGTGAAGTCTACTAGTGTATCAACGAATAAATTGAATAGAAATGGGGATAGTGGGCATCCCTGATGGACACCACTAGTTGTCACCGCTTCAGATGACAACTCGCTGTAAGCCCTCACCTGGCTGCACGAGTTCGAGTGGAGTGCCTTGATCAATGCAGTGTATTTTCTACTTGAAGATTTACAGTCGAAAATCAAGTTGTGAAGAGAGTGTCTGTTATAACTGCACTGAATTAAGGTAAAACCCCGTCGCCAATTTGTTATAACTGTAGGGAACTGAATGAAGACGTTTTCACCTTATTCTGTCTGCGCCTGAACTAATCTGCCTATCTGCTTGTCGTACCTTCCGATTTAGTAAAGCACGCAAATATCAAAAGACAAAGGCTGGACTGTGACTGTGTGTTGAAGTGCAACAACGATAAAGAAAGCCATGGTATTTATACATTTTACAACAATATGGACAGCTAACAGCATTTGAAATAATTTATCTTAATAGCCAATAACAAAGTGCGTGAGAGATGATAATATACCATATGTGCGAGGTTGACAGTCAGTAACAAAATGTGTGGGAATGATAATATACCATATATACAAGATTAGCAGTCACTACCAAAATGTGTGAGAATGATAATATACCATATATACAAGATTAACGGTCACTACCAAAATGTGTGAGAATGATAATATACCATATATACAAAATTAGCAGTCAATACCAAAATGTGTGAGAATGATAACATACCATATATGCCAGATTAAACAGTCAATACCAAAATATGTGGGATCCTATCAGTGTCAGCGAATACAGGACTTCAGGTGAATATCGGGAAGACGGAGGTGATGAAGGTAACCAACCAACAATAAAATGCACCAATCACTATAGATGGAAGAAATTTGAAAGAACTGAGTTCCTTCACTTATCTAGGTGGCACCAACTACACTCTGAAATCAGTTTGGAAATCTACACTCGCCATAAGGATCAAGATTCGGATTTTCGACACCAAAGTCACGTCATTTCTTCTGTATGGTTCAGACACGGTGTGACACGACAGGCTGCTACAGATTTTTGTCAACAGCTACCCTCGCTTCATATTGAAGATTAGATGGTCAGAAAAAATTAACAACAAGAAATTCTGAGAATGAACCGATCGAGAACCTATTATTTAACAAATATGCTGAAGAACATGAAGATATATTGGGGACACACTGAGGAGACCATCGGATGACATCGCGCTCCAGATTTTCGAGCGGAACCTGAGTGGGAAACGACGCGTTTGATGTGAATCCGAGGGTGGCGTGGAGGAGATCGTGTGAACAGGAGATGAAAGCCTATGGGTAATCGTGGTGCCACCTGCATAGGACTTCAGAGAACAGGCGAAATCAGAGATGCGCCGTATGTGTCCACTTGGAACCGAAGGCAGTAGTAATAATGGTAGTCTTGTTTTGTTACATCACAATATTCTACTCATGTGTAATGAGATGCGCAGTTTTGTTGAAGGACCGTAATTTATTGTATTACTTAGCTTAGTACAACATTGTCATTAGCAGGTTCGGGGTATTGGCATCATACTAATTAATAGAAAAGACACGGTGGAGCAGATTTAAAAGCGATTCTTATCGATGATGTCTTCGGGCTCTTCAGTTATGTATCCATACCGCATAAATAATAAGTTTTTACATATAAATTACACAAAGGATTTGAGTAGCAACGAATCATCAACAGTTTGTTTTGAGAGTAGTTGTGTTTAAATCCAAGTGCTTTCGGAATTCATTTCGCGGGAAGTAATTATGTGGAAGACCCTTACAGGACATATGTTATCCAATCAGAGAAATGATATAGATAGGTGATATTTGGTCATTTCCACAGTTGTCTCCTGCGTTAATATGGGAGGAAAAGGTCAAAAATTATGAATTTGATTAATTCAAAGTTGTAATTTCTGAATATTCTAACGTAAACTCTATCGCAGATCTTCAGGCATGTACTGCAGGGAGTAGAAAAGTGGGCATACGCTGAATCGACGACAAAAAGAACCTAGCTGATCTGGATTTCACTGATGACTTGTGTCTAATATCGCACAAATGTAAAGATTTAAAAGCAAAGATCAACCGGTTGGTAAAAGAGGTGGGGAAGATAGGACTTCGAGTGGACAGAGGAACACAAGCGATGAAAATACCAGACCACCATTAATATCCAAAGGGACTTCGCTTTTATAGTTACCCAGGCCTCATCGCCTCTTGTACCTCTCCAAGAAGATTCAATGTGCACTTTTGGGGAAACATGTTATAAGAAACAAACTGGGATATGTTTATTGAAAATGTGCCAGATGATATTATCATGCATATAACATCTTTTCTCAATCTGTCTTGACATTTGTTGCCCAAGGGGAACCCTCTTCACTTTTCATCTCTTCAGATGAGACTGAGAAGCCTAAATGCTTGTACGGCTAAATTTAACAACTGAAGGATAACTTATCTGGCATACATGTTGTTTAAGCACGAGATTATTAGGTATGAAGTTACCAACCTACTTTGTAACTGTAAATAAATGGCAATTTTCATTAAAAAACAATCAGTGATGTGTTGTTGCAACCTTTCTTATCTTTGGCTTGGTCATGTGCTGTGAATGTCATCCCAGAGGCTTCCGTACAGGTCTGTGTTCGCTAGTCCTGGGGTGGAATGGAAAAGGCCGAGAGGTGGTCAGCCGATGAGGTGGCGTCGTCGTGGGGTGAAGGATATTTGTGTTAGGTTAGCATCGGTTGGTACGTCCCGACTTCCTGGCCGGAGTCCGAGTGTTAGCTCGAATCAATGGCTTCAAGCGTCATCGGATATGGTCTAGAATCGTAATCCATGGCGAACGTGCTGTAATTTCCATCTTTCTTCCCTTCCCGACGATAGTTGACGAATGCTGCTTGAACTTGTTAAATATGACTGTTTTCCTTCCAGATGAAGTTCTTTATACGTCCTCAACTTATACTTTTACTTTTAATATAAATAAATTATTTATTTATCGGTTATTATCATTACTGTTGTAAGCATCATAAGGCTCCTGTAATTATTTCTCCCTCACGTAGTCTAAAGATGCAGTATTCTATTGCATGCTGAGAATTCCATACTGTGAATTGAAGCGATAATTATTTATGTATAACAATCAAGCCAGAGGAGTTGAGTTATCGAGGAGAATATTCTTTGTCTTAATAAAGTAATGTTTTATTCCTAACATAATAATTATTTCTCATTGTTTACTCTAGATCTAATACATCTTTATCTGTAAATAAAGAGGCTGTCTCACTACTAACATCTGCTATGCTGCATCCTTTGGATAAAACAATTTCTAATGAATCACTTCGTCCTTATCTTGCTGATGGAACAGCTCCCAGAGATTATCTCATTTCTAAGCCAGCTAAACACTTGATTCCGTCTTCCCAAGAGTTTAAATTTGATAATGAGAAATACGGTGATATGTCTGTGCTTAGTGAATCTGAAATGAAAGCTTTAGAATCAACTGGGGAATTGAAGAAGAAAGAAAAACCAATACAACTCTACACCTTTAAACGTCCACATCCGAATGAAGTATTTTTCTTTAAAGTAGGTTCATTCAAATATTCAACTTTGATCTCTCATAACTTATCTACTAATAACTATTATTATTAGTAGGTTAGGTTAATATTGATCTTATTGGCGTAGTAAGTTGGCAGCTTTTATTACCGGCAACTTGACGATGATAACCACCAAGCAGCCTTGGGTGCAAGTTTTTTTTGTACTAAGTTTGGCGAAAGACGGTGTTATTTATGGCGTCATCAAAATGCACCTTAGGCTGGTGTGATGATTTCACTGTTTAGCACCTTCAATTTCGAATACATTCTAACATATTTTCTCAATATCTGAAGATTTAACACAGTTACACCTCTATTCTGTTTCGTCTGTATGTCGATTTGCTGTTGAGAAAAATAGTTGTTTATAACAATCTGTCCTTGTTAATACGTAGGCTATATGAAGAACAGTGTTATTATAGGACATAATTCGTATGCGTCGGTGGCACAGTGGTTAGAACTCTCGTCGACCATGCACATGGTCCGAGGTTCAATCCTCTGCCGACGCACACCTGATATCTATGGTCGGCCTGCAAAATTTGAGCTACCGATATCACATGCTGAAACTTCCATAACTGTACCAAAAATAGGGTGTGGAATCAAGCTGAAATAAAAAAATCAAATATATTAGATTAGTTGTTTTGAAGTTTATTCACACAGTTCATTTCCATTTTCTACAAAATAGTTAACAGATAAGCATACTCTTGTGGATGAAATTAAAGAAACATTCCCAGACCTCGGTGGACCTTTTGGTAAACTTCCTGAAGTATATCTTAGTAAAGTTCGAGAATATCAAAAGGCGAAACGTCGTACTGCGACACGGCTACGTGTTCAACCTCCTCCTCGTCGTTGGCGTTGATGAAATTTATTCACATTCTACCGATTGTTCCTTATATGAAACTGTTACATTGAAAATTGTATAGAAATAAATTTTTGAACTCATTCTGGTGTTTTAATAATTTTCGAGCTTGATTCAACTGTACTTCTCAATACATATATTGAGGTTAGTGACCTGGTTTATCACATTGAATTGAAGACATATAATTGTCTTACTTATTAATAAAAGAGTAGTATAGCTGGGATTCGGAAATTTCCTCACTACATTTAGTTATTATATAGGTACAACATTATTTTACAGACAAGTTGTAAAAATGGAAGCATAATTTTCGGTAAAATGAATACCTTTCTAAATTCTCTGATACTAATAAGAGGTGTTTGGTCAAATAACCTTGGTTTTAGAGTCTTTATATAATACACATTTCGAAATCGTCTGGAAAATTGTAAAATGTTAACGAATTACAATTCACAGTCTCGGAAGAATTTTATTTTTACTGACGAGTGACACATACGACATCTAGCAACTCACCAAGTGAGTCCTCTTTATCAGGGAATCCAAGTAGTTTGTGCTGACTGTGTGAACAAGATCTCTGACATCAGTTTTAATATGGTGTTAAGAATTTGCGGATGTTTTATGGGCTTGAAAACTACCCGAAAATATCATTTTATAAAAACGGTGCCTTCACTCATCATCTATGAGCTTTTAGGTCTTATGACTTCACATTTCTGTGTAGAAGTTGATTAATACAGAAGTTATCAGTACGATAAATTAAATCTATAACCGACTGTAGTTTACGATGACGTACTTGCGTTTGTTTCTTGTTCAGTTTTGTTGTGTATACTTCTTAAAGCGAATTGCCTCAACGCGTGGAGCGGTTATTCTGATTCAGATATTGTGTAAAAATCCAATTCAAAATAAAAGATAGTGGTTGTTTTTATTTAGCTAACCGAGATGGCTTTTGTGGCTCACTAGGTTGCTAAAGGACGCTTTAGGTTTCGAAACGATGATTGTCAGGATCGGTTTCCGCTGTAAATACCATCACTCACTGAGACGGGAGTGAATCCAGTGAGCAGTGTCAAAGTGAACGAGACGCACGGTTTGGCTTCCCCTGGTTATCCACATAGCATCAAGTTGGCCTCAAGGCATCTTCGAAGTTTTCGTTTTAGGAACTGACAAGTCACCCGAGACCAAACATTCCTTTCCTTTGAAAATAATCAACAGGAAATTTAAAATAGCGGTTGCCTATAATAAAACAAATACCAGGCAAGATAGACTGGTAAGTTTTGCCGATATAGGAAATGAGAATCTTGACTAATGTCGTAGAGTTGAAATCTATGCGCAATAATTTAATCAGTGGTTTCAGGCAAAACTTGTGTTATATTTTGATCACAATAGCGGTATCCTACTGTTCTGTCTCTCCAACCATCAATCGTAACAAGTGCGTTGGCCGGAGATCGAACTCCGGACCATATGCGTGGTTGGCGACCATTCCACCGCTTTTGCCACCGACGCGCTCACTACATACTACTGATAAATCTTATCAGTAGCACTCGCCACATGTCCACCTGTTTTTTGTGATACTACAGTTAATGAAAGCTTTGTTATCTTTAGTAGAGCAGTGCACAGAAGTCCATCTGTTCAAAATACCGTACTAAAACAAAAAAAAGATTTCTATTTTATGAGCAGTTAAAAGGTTGAAATCAATATTTAACATAAAGGTTTATTGATATTGATTTATGTGAAGACAAGTCTTGGTTAACACGGTTAATTCAGTGATATCCACTGTTTGCCAACATTATTTCAGAGTATTCAATGGTGAATTAATAAGGTAAAAACCTGCCTGTATTTTCAGTTCGCGATCCAGAACTGACGATAAAATTGTTGAATAGGTGGTATTTTTCAATACAGAAAAGGGAATCTTTTACATTCACTCTCAACAGTATGCTGCCTTTTTATCATATCAAGTTAATTTTTAATGTGAAATCATCTGAGATTTTAACACAATGCTCCGCGTTAAATAGTAGGTTTTTTAGCAGGATGTTTATGAACGCAAGATTTACATAAGGAAGATTAATTACTACGCAACATCAGTCGTGTGGATTGTTTTTCAACCCGACAGATCGGGATATTTAAACATAATTTCATCTAATCTATAAGCTACTGAAATAGATACAATGACCATGTGACAGCATTGCCATGCAGTGATTTTATTTGCAGCATCCTGTATCTGGACGCATGAAACAGCGGAAATATAGGATCAATGAAAATCCTACAGTGGTTGGTATAAGATGAAAGAAGAAAAGGGAAAGCAAAGAGAAATGCGGTATTGTGAAATAGGTTTAGTATGAAGGTATCTGTACAACTGCAGGCGACTTTGAGCCAGGATAACCGAGTTGCCAATTGTAAGTTTTGGTTAACATAAGTAGCCTGAACGCCGAGTTTGCCATGTATTGTTGTGGTCGCCTTTCAGGCTATTCCCTGTTTGACCAACACGATACGATGTTCGGAGAAGGCGGATTCACAGGCTCTCGAAGTTTATAGCTTACTTATGACTTCACATTTGAACTTTATTGCCCACGTAATTATCCCTATCAAAAGTATAGTTGTTATGTCAATGTGCTTTTGTGTTTCGTTCTGTTGCATAGCATTCCACTCAATCTTGGTTTTGATTTTCACTCACTGAGTTTAACTCACTGTTAAGGTTACAAATCTACCAAATTAAATTAAATAAATAATAAATAAAAGCAGCTCGTATTATCCTACAAATATGTTCGTTCTCTCTTTACTTAAAAAATAAGCATAAAACTTAGCGAAGGCGAACCTGGTAGGTGATTTGAAGTTTCGCCTTCAATCAACATGCTTAACAGTCATATAGTAGGGCAGATCATAGTAATGGATAATAGACTCGGTTCTTTGTTTCATGTTTTCCTGATTTATTGTTAAGAGTGTGCTGTGAAAGCCAAAAGGGACTTGTAATCATGCTGCGATTTCGTCGGTTACAATCTAGTTATATTGTAGCTTTATAAGTTGGTAGCATTTAATCCATTGTCTGTTATCGTAGAAGGTATCGACGCCGATTATAAGCCTATAAAAACAGTATGCATTTATTCACCATCTTGTTCTCAAACAGTTACTTATATTTCTCAGAAGACTATTTCACTCGACAGGTTTGTAACGTTTGATTGTAACACTGATAATGACCAATAAATTTCAGTTCCATCAATCAGCTTTCATAATAAAAATATCCTCGAAGCAATCACTTAGAAGAAAGGACTCAAATGTAGTATAGTGAAAATTATTTGATTGTTTTTGTAGTGTTCAACACCACGCAGTATTTAAACCAAGCGAAGAAACTAATATGCACAAGTCTGACACCGGAAATATTTCCCTCGTTTCCATCTGCTGGATACTGTAGACAAATGTGAGGAGCTGGAATGTCCGGTAAATCCACAGATTTTGGTAAGATTTATTACATAGAGGATTTCATCATGAGCTGACATCAGTTAAAGAACCACTGGAAAACCTGGGAGTATTGGACAGCTGTTTCGTCCTAGTTTGGGACTCCTCATCAGTACGCACCCACTGGGGTTCGAACCCTGGACCTTCTGGTTACAAGGCCATTGAGCCACTGGGACCCAAACTAGGACGAAACAGCTGTCCAATACTCCCAGGTTCTCCGTTGGTTCTCTAACTAATTTCAGCTCATGATGAAATACTCCATGCAATCAAACAAAACCCCTACAAAACCAATACTTGTAAGATTTATTAATTGAGTATTGTATGTAATTGATAGGTTATGCTAGCATCTCATTCATAATCTACAATGAAAAAATAATGAGAACGCTTACAAATTAAGAAGATAAATTACCTAGTAATCAATAAATCTTAATCTTAGGATGTTGCGCTCCGGCAGTTCAGGGGGTAGAATTCCCGCCAATCAACCACCTGATTAGGCGTTTAGTTCCCAGCTGACTCACTCCTAAACCTCGCTAAGCCGAGAAAGAGGGAAGGTTGGAGGTTAGTCTAGCAAACCCACCCCTACAACTCCCCTACTTGATGGCTCCTCACTCCCTCTTCACTCTGTGTCCACTAAAAACGACGGAAGCCAAAAAACCACCGATAGTCTCCTAAAGCCACGCCACCAATTTCATATAGGAGCATTTAATGTTAGGACACTTTGCCAAATAGGACAACAAGCATCACTAGCTAAGACCCTGGCATCCCGAGCCATTGATGTATGTTGTGTTTCAGAAACACGCATACAAGACCCAAGTGTGGTTATTCACCTAACCCCACCTGGCCAACAGGATGAATCTTCAAAATTCACCTTGAGGGTGTCAGGAGATGCCACAGCTAGTTCACGAGGATTAGCTGGCGTAGGGATAGCTTGAGTACTAGGGCAGAAAAGACATTGCTTGACTGGATCCCGGTAGATAGCCGAATGTGTGCTGTCCGTCTGAACGGATCAGTAAGAAGGAGAAAGGACTGCACTACTCGCCGATGCCTTTTCGTAATCTCCGCCTACGCCCCCACTGACTGCAGTTCGGATGAAACGAAGGATGAGTTCTACCAAAAGCTGTCTAGTTTGGTGAGAAAGGCTAAACGCTCAGATATAGTCGTTCTAGCTGGTGACTTTAACGCTCAAGTAGGGAAATTGTGTCAATCTGAGAAGGATGTCGGTGGCACCTATGGAGTTCCGTGCCAGCGAACCGACAACGGTGACCGTCTCCTACAGTTCTGTTCAGATAATCATTTGTTTCTTGTAAGCACTAACTTTAAACACAAGGAGAGACACTGTTTAACCTGGCGACCCCCATCATCAAACCAACGCTGGACACAAATAGACCACATAGCAATAAGCTATCGTTGGCGTGGGTCGGTAGGAGATTGTCGCTCCTTCTGGAACACGTGTGTAGATACCGATCACGCACTGGTCCGGGCTCGTGTGTGCTTACGACTGAACGGACGTAGGAAACAGCTGGCGGTAAAACCATCACGTCCCCAGCTCGATCAGGAAACTA